AGAGAGGAATGTTGATTTGCACCTATCCGAAGATTTCCAATATGTCCTTGGCATGTTGAATTTTTTTAGAACCCATCAACCTGTGAGGAAAAGGAGCACGTGAGATATCTTCATCAGTAGGTTCACGACATACCTTTTCTTTTCTTGCCCTTCTTGCAATTTCATGCCTTGGGATCCACTCGGGTGAAGAAGTTGCTTATTTATCTTTCTCCATGTTGATTTCATCCTTTTCATTAGGCATAATCACTTTCTCAACCTGTATCTCATCATCAATTTTAATTAGACTTTCAGAATTATCAACCTCACCAATTACCTTACCGGTTCTCAAGATAATTGCTTGAACATGCTCATGCCCGTTTGGATTTATCACTGTTTGGCTAGGCATCATCCCAGCTTCCCTTTGATTCAAAACTGTGGCAATTTGCCCCACCTGATATTCTAGGTTGGCTATGGCCTTGTCTGTTCTCTGCATGTGGGTGTCATTCCGTTGCATGTAGCTTCTTGTCTCCTTAATGAAAGTATCTGTGGTTTTAGCCATAGAATCTGTGGTTCTAGCCAAAGAAGCAACAAGTTCTTCCAAAGATTGTCCTGTAGGTTTTTGCTGAACTTGACTTGAGCTTGGTTGGTTGGGTGGTGGTGGATTGTATTGTGGAGCTTGACCATGAGGTGGGCGAGGATTGTGTTGGCCATGATATGGTTGAGATTGCCCTTGTTGGACATTGGAATTGTCACTCCACCTGAAATTCGGATGATTTCTCCACCCCGGATTGTATGTTTGTGAGAAAGGGTCATTCTTTTGCCACTGATTTTTCTGAAATGCACCCACTGCATTTGCTTCCTCCATTGCCAAGGGGCAATCTTCAGTTTCATGACCAGTTGTGGAGCAATATGCACAAACCTTGGATGATTCTGGAGTTAATCTCTTCACCATGTTGGTTAGGTTTGCTATTTGAGCTTCCATGCTAGAAAGGGTACCTACATCATAAGATCCCCCTTTTCTAACTGGTTTTTGCCTGGAGTTATATTGGCGAGCATTTGCAGCAACAAGATCAAATATCTCACGCACTTGTGTTGGAGTCTTGTTCATTATAGTTCCTCCTGCAGCTGCATTCACATTATTTTGATCCGCTTCAAAAAGTCCTTCATAGAAGTTTTGCATTAGGAGCCATGCTTGTATGTTATGATGCAGACAAGCGATTAGAAGTTTCTTGTAACGATCCCAATAATCCTGGAAGCTTTCTCCCTGCCTTTGCAAAATTCCTGTAATCTGGCTTCGGAGTTCATTTGTCCTTTGTGCTGGAAAGAAATGTTGCAAGAACTTTGCAGCAAGGGCCGTCCATGTTGTGATGGAATTTGGAGGTAGAGAGTGGAGCCATTCCTTTGCTGTATCCTTCAAACTGAACGAGAAAAGTCTCATTCTTATTTCTTCATTATTCATGCCTTCGATCTTTATTGTGGAACATACTTCCTCGAAGTCTAGGATATGTGCATTAGGATTTTCTCCGGGATTTCCAAAGAACTTAGGCAATATGTGTATCATGCCCGATCTCAACTCAAAGTTTTCCAAAGTGGATGTGGGATATACTATGCAAGATGGTTGTCCAGCTGTTGGCGGTGATGAGTATTCTTGCATAGTAAGTTCCATATTTTCAACTGCTCCTGCCATTGGTGACAATGGAGGTGACTCGACTATTGGTGAGCTTGGTGATGATGAAAACGGTGAGTATGATATAGGCAATGGAGTAGACGCAGCAAGTCGGATGTTCCTTCCTCTCAGAATTTGAGCTCGGAATTCTTCTAATGTGCAATCAAGTGAAATATCCGACTCTGAAAAGGACATATGCAAAATGTTCCTGTACGAAAGAGAAACAAAAACAAATTAAAATAAAATGAAATATCAAAGAATAAGTGAAAATGAACTAAGTATTCTAAACATACTCAACAAAACAGATAAGCAGCCGTGCCAGTTCTCCGGCAACGGCGCCAAAAATTGTTGCATTCCTAAAAGGACACAAATTAATGTGCAAACAACCAATTAAAAATACCCGCAAGTGCACGAATCTAATGAAGTATAGATTATGTAAGTACGGGGTCGATCCCACGAAGAACTTGTCGGCTTCCTATAAGTTCTAATTTGAGTACGTAAAGAACACTTAATTGACACACCACAAATGCACAAATGCAAAATAGAAACTAAAAATGAGTAAAGAAGTGTAAAAGAAATGAAACAACACAAGAAAACTAAAGAAAAACACAAACAGCATTTTCTATCACCATTTTATCACCACTTTATCACCTATGAACAGTGCAATGAATAGTGCGTGAACAGTGTCTGGCGACCGGTCGTGAGGTAAAAGCGACCGGTCGTTTTTGCACAGAGTCGTTTTCGCTGTTTTTCAGTTTCGACCTTTGTCCAGTTTTTGACCTATAACTTTCCAACCGTTTATCC